CCGGAACCGGTTCCCGGCGGTTCCGGTTCCAAAAATTTAAGAACCGCTCTAACCGGTTCCGGTTCCGGTTCCAATATCTCAAGAACCGCCGGTTCCGGTTCCGGTTCCGGTTCCTGTCAAAAAGGGCGGGTACCCGCCTATGCTCACCCCTAGGCGCTGCTGCTCCTGCTCTCTCCCGACCATGTAATCGGCGACGGCGCTGCTGCTGCTGCTCCTGCTCTCTCCCGACCACGTAATCGGTGACGGCAACAGGCCGACGGCGCTGCTGCTGCTACTCCCTCTTCGGCTCTCCCTCTCGGCTCTCGGTATTCAATATTAGTTATGACCTAATGGGAACTGCTGTTTTTTATTTTGAATCTGAGAAGATGATTGCTATTTGTCGGCTGCTACGAGAAATGTTTGATTCTTTAAAATGTTATTTTTGACTATATGATGATTGAAACCAAATCAAATGAAAGGAGCTTTAATGACTAATGATGTCAGTGTAGACCAGTTCATAAGTTTATTCTAGATTCTAATTAATGGTTTTTTTGATGGTTTTACCTTACGGATGCTTTTACCTTACGGATTCTATATTCAATATTTTTGACTTTGATGCTTTTACCTTACAGATTCAATATTCAATATTCTTCATTTTTGATGCTTTTAAGTTTGTATTTTATAAGTTTATTCTAGATTCTAATTAATGGTTTTTTCATTCATATTATGTCATTATCACATATAAACTTTTTAATTTTAGATGGAACCTTCGGAAAACGAGAACATACATGGTGATGAGAATGAGATGGAAGAAAACAAGGAACAAGTAACAACCCGTTTCCCCGTTGGGGACGGGGATGGGGATGTGATCATAATCCCCGGCGGGGACGGGGACGGGGACGGGGACGGGGACACATACGAGGATCGGGGACGGGGATGGGTATTGGGGTCCCCCCCCATCCCCGCCCCATTACCATCCCTAGCCGGAGCCTCTGGGCTCTTAAGTCCTTCAGGACCAGAGCCCCTCTGGTTGTATACCACACTTAGAAAATATTTAGTAACCCGTCCGTCGATCCTCTGGTTCTAAATCACACTTAGAAAATATTTGCCATTTAGGACCAAAGCCCCTCTGGTCTCTCTTCCAGAGCTTCTGGTCTTCATGACCAGAGCCTCTGGTTCCAACCATACTTGGAAAATAATACAACACCAAGGGCCGGAGCCCTTCTGTGGTCTCTCTCGCAGAGCTTCTGGTCTCACGACCAGAGCCTCTGTGGTATCGTCCAGAGCCTCTGTGGTTGGAGCCTTGGAAAATTTGGTACCAAGGGCCAGAGCCCCTCTGTCGTCTCTCCTACAGAGCCTCTGTCTAATACAAGATACAGAGCTCTCATGCAGAGCCTCTGTCTAACCTAACCTGACACAGAGCTCTCATGCAGAGGTTCTGGCCAACATATCTTGATTCGAAGCTCTCATGCAGAGCTTCTGGCTATCATGACACAAAGCTCTCATGCAGAGCTTCTGTCTAACATACTTGATACAGAACTCTCATGCAGAGCTTCTGCATAACATTMTCTAAGGTGGTTGCTAAGCAGAATGCGATACAACGTGTTTACCATTTGAAACCTAAACCCTGAAACCGACCTTAAAACACGCAGTTTGGGACGTGAGCCCTCTAGAGTTCTATACAGAACCGAAGGCATGACTAAGCCTTGTATCATCATAAAATTTGGGTCGAGTAATTATCTCTAAACGACGGGAAGCAGGGGTTTTCTTGATGGTATGAACTTCGGCTTCTCTCCTTCAGGCTCAACGATTTCCTTCTCCTTCTCAAAGAGTAATGACCCTAAGCTAGTGCCCACGATTTATACTCAGATGGTTTGGCCTATTAGTTGACCAAATCGGCTAAATCCCGGATTTTTGGCTGTGAACTACCTTCTGCAAGCATGCAGGTCACAGTTTCCTCAAAGGGACCAGGCATCGCCTGCCCTCTCCTGCCTCTCCCAACGTCAACAGCTGGCCTTCCTCTAATAAGAGCCTTCAGCCGTGGCCAAAATCAGCAAGATTTAACTTATTCAAATTTCAAATTGATTATATATATATATATATATATGAATAAAATCGAAGTAATACATTATTTATTCCTCGAAATTTTTGGGTTTTACAGTTTTGGTTTTGATGTAATGCTTTAATTATTGTAGTTTTTGGATGGTTTTTGGTCTGTGATCAAACATACATCTTGGGTTTAGAAGAATTCTAGTTCTAATGCTTGCTTTAATGAATTCTTCAGATTTCATGATGATATTGGGGTATCAAAACTCCTGTCTATGAAGAAAGACAACTTGTTTAAGGTCAAATATAATCTTGATGGCAAGCAAGTGCCTGAACAAAGAATGGAGGAAAAGAGTCAACCTTCGTTGAAATCGAAAGTTCTCTCCAGGGTTTTCTCCGAAGATTAYGAAAGAGTGCAGAAGAAATTCTTGGATCCTCGAGGGCTAACTATTTCGGAAATGGAAYCATATTTTCTTGTTCGCATGTTTGATTTCTTTGTTTGTAGACCCTTTGTTCTTTTACCTACCATCTGTTCGAACCAGCCATGTTTGCATCCATATTGGTCTCACCCTCGAGATCGGTCTCACCGTCGTGAGATCAATAGCAGACGTCTTTTACACCATTTAGATTCTCATCAAGTTCCGTACTGCCTATGTTGCACCATCTTCTTGGCGTGCATTTTGTTGCAGTGGAGCTTGTGATATTGTTACTTCTAGTGAAATAAAAACGCCTTCTAATCGTTCTGTTTTTGTGGTTAATACAGCTGCTAATATGGCTGATCATACCGAGCCAAAGTGGCTCGACCATGACTAACACAAAAAATGTTCTTCGGTTTATCATAATTTTCCAATACCTCCCGAGACTATATCTCATATTCCCTCTAACATCACAAATTGTCGAGGCTACAGGCATCGTGACTGAAACCACAAGAGCTGGAGCTGCGTATAATCTGATGCTATACATGTTAGCAAGCCATGTAATCACCAAAACAACCTTAATAGAACATGTTAGCAAGCCATGTAATTACCAAATATGAACAAATCATATTTTCATCGTTAGATTCATGGATACTTGACACACAATGGCATTGTTGCTATTTTTATGCGCAACTTTTGTTATATATTTTGGTTCAATTTTTGGTATATATGTTGGTTTAATTTTGGTAAAATTATGCCCAAAATTTGTATGCACATTATAATGTTTTGGATACAACGTTTGTATGTTTTGTGAAGAGTAATGAGAATGATATATTTGTTTTTTTTTTATAAATATAAGTACTTTTTTCGTTCAAAAAATGTTTAAGGACTTGATCGTTCAAAATATGAAAGTCCATTGGTTTTTTCGGACTTTTTCCACTAACAAAATGTATTTAACATATTTTAGAAAGTCCAAGGATTTGTTTAACAGGTTTTGTAATGTTTAAAGACTTATTTAACAGGTTTTAGAATGTCCAAGGGTTTATTTGCTCCAAAAAATTATCCAAGGACTTAATCATTCCAAACAGTAAAGTCCATTGAGTTTTTTTTGGACTTTTCCAAGAGCAAATAATCTAGAGAGTGAGACCGAGAGTTTTAGAGCAATTAACTGAGAGATGATTGAGAGAACTTTTAATAACTCATGAATATCAATTTAAATCTCATATTGGGAGATGAGGAGAAGACATAGATGTACGAGAAGGTGAATACATGAGTGAAATGTGTCAAAAATATCTTTGGAATATGAAAAGAAAAAGTAATAATGTATATTAATAATTTGTACTATATGTTATTTTAATGTAGATTAAGAGATTCTAATACTAAATACATAAAGTATTAGACTTAATGCATTATGAATTGTTTTTAAGATTTTATGCATAAATATATAGTAATTTATACATTAAAAAATATTTTTAAAACTTTTAAAAACTTTGATTTATAAAATAATATAGATAAATTAACATACACTTTTGCAAAAAAAAAAAAATTATTTTATTTAAATAAGCAATGCCAAACATGACTACCAATGGCCCTTCTTTTTCCCCCTAAATTGGAGAACACAGCGGAAGAACCCCATTTGGCTTCAAACTTCTTTCGAGCAGGAAAACGAGAGGATGGAGGCTAGCGAAGAAAGGGTAATGCCGAAGAAGCCAACAAGGGCGCAGGTACCCCTTTACGTTCAATCACAATCAAATCTTTGCAGTCAAAATCCTATAAATTTTACTATTCGTTGTTTACAGATCATGCAAAGAAAGAAAAGGATCGATCAGCTTCTCAGATCAGCTTATTCTCCCGATAAAGACCATCTTATTGAGTTTTCACACTTCCGCCATTACAATACAACTGGTCTGCATCATCTCTTTCCTTCAAAAGCCCTGACATACGTTAATTTTGAGTAATCTCTCCTCCCTGGAAGCATTTGAGTGTCAAATGACTTAGTTTTTAATCAACATTTATGTTGCACAGAAAGAATTGTGAACATCATTAGCAATTTCGAATTTGGTAACTGTCTAAATTGCAGGGGGTAGGGTATCTTTACAATTTCTTTTTAGTAAGCGTTTTTGTTCATATCCAGTTGAAGTCCAGTTAAGTGCACAAGTGCTAAGCCCCTTGTTTGCAAAATTGGAGAGGGAAGTTCTGTCATTATTTGAAATTGTGATTGAAGAAGCTTTTCCGAAGCAAGTGGTAGTTTTTCTTGGTTGACATGTTCCCCAAACCCACATCCCGAGCAGCTAGGCTTTGACTTTTCTGTTCGATATACGTTGGAACCTCCATTCTCTTCTTAACTGCTCTTTTGGAGGATAATCTAAAGGGGTTCTATATATTCTCATATGACAAGGTTTAAACTCTAAACACCCTGGGATGAGTTGTGCTTGTCTGGCCTTTGTCTTTGTTTTTGTGGGGGGGGGGGGGTGTTTTTCATTTCAAAATGAGTGATCCTAGGCTTCGACCAGACTAATTCCATGGAAATTCGTGGCTGTAGGCTTCACAGCCCTGTGGTAAATCTAGCAGTGGCCACAAGTGCACATGTAGATGGCCGGATTTGAACCTGGTATGATTTTATCATCTTCTTATCTTTTTCCACCACATTTTCACCCTTGGAGTGGGTGTGTTGGAGTCACACATTGGCTATACTTGGACCCTTTCTCCTCGATATATGTCGGAATATTTCTTCTCTCCTCAATGGTTCTTTTGGAGAATATTCTAATGGGGTTCCACATATTCTGACAACATGTACTTGCTATATTGCTGTTGATGACCATAGAAGCCTGTAATTGCTTACAAACATAGGGTGGTACGCTAGGATCTTAATTAGAAGCTCTAGAGTTGACAGGTTTCAACATAGATAAGGACTAGAGGAGAGGCAAGGGCTCATGGAAAGTATACTTCCAAAAGATGAGATTGGCTGTGGTTGTGCTCATGGAGCTAAAGTAGTTGCCTGAAGTTGTGAGAGATGTGTGCTTGGCTGTTATTATTATTGATGAATGAATGCTTGAATACTTTTAAGATCATTTCTGTACATTCTATTTACTTTGATAAACTAATGAAGGGTTAAGATCGTTTTTGACATATACCTTTTACTTTGATAAACTTAATAAAGGGTGATAACATTAGCATAAAAGAAATCCAAAAGGCAAGGCCATAGATACCGAGAATGTAACAGTTAAGGGAGATACAGTTGCTTTTGTGTAAAACAAGTTCTGCTTTTAGGCAGATGGAAATCTGGAAGATGATTTTAGTCTAGATCTTTACTATCACCCCTAGTGGCAGAGTTTATGTAGTAGACAAGGTAAATGCTCTGATCTTTATAGCTCGGGATAAAGGGCTTTCTGGGAAGCATTCATGGTGAGAACAAAGCCTTTGTGGCTTCTATCAATCTCTCTAAGATCCAAGCTCAACCTAAGAGACAGAAGCCAGGGAAGATGCATCAAACCACACTATTGTATGAAGAATTTATTATTCTCGTAGATGTTCCTTCCTTGCTTTTGAATGCAGTAATTTAGAGTAGGTTTTATACTTATTCTCAATGATTATTCAAATTAAAATGTCATCCCATCCTCCTTGTTTATTGGCAATGACCCTTAACGGTATATAATAATATTGAATAAGATTTTGATAATTTATTCTGCCACACAGGAGACTTGAATAAAGTCTGCCTTTTTTAAGCTAACAGCCATATGCTAAAGTCTAAGACTCTTAAAATCATTTTTCTCAACTCTTGTACGGACTACATGTTCTTCATTTGATTAATCCTCTTTAGAAAAGCTTATTATTTTAAGTTATATTTCTTATTTATTTTTCCTGCTAATGCTCTCCTATTAAACAGGTCTATCTTTAGTCCTTGAGTCTGGACGTGGGGATAAACTTTCATCTAATTTGAAGCAGTACATCCAAAAGCTCCTTAAGGTAGAAGCAAATTGCTGTACAACTGTGTTAGTCTTATTTTAGCTTTACGAAGCATGTTAGCTGTATCCTGTATTGCCAAAAGTGGAGGATTACATCTTTTCTTTCGAGCAGGTCAATATGGAGGGGCCTTATGGAGCAGAGTGGCCAGCAGAGGAAAAAGTGAAGCGCAAAGAAATGTCATCTTCTGAAGCACTATATATTTTTGTACGAAAGGTTGCAAGCACCCCTGATGATGCGGAGGCATCCATAATTGGATTTGTACAATATAGATTCACCATTGAGGAGGAAATACCTGTACTTTATGTGTATGAATTGCAGCTTGAACCTACTTATCAGGGGAAGGGAATTGGAAAGTTCCTGATGCAACTAGTTGAGCTAATTGCATGCAAGGTAATCAACTTCCATTATTCTTATTTGATGATGCTCTTTTTTTTGTATAATTGAAAGTGTGCATGATATGATCAATATCGTTTTAATACTTGACCTAGACTAGAGGCATCCTGAACTGAAAAATTCTTGAATGTTGTTGTTCTGTTTCTACCCTAAGTGCTTAATTGACGTTGCATGGTTGTCTAATTATATATTTACTGTTGGTTTAATGTTTCAGTTTGTTTGTCTTCTGCTTTCCTCAGAACTGCATGGGTGCCGTGGTACTCACTGTACAAAAAAGGAACTCTTCAGCAATCAATTTCTACTTGAATAAGCTAAGGTAACATATGATATTGGGACTAATTTTTGGAGCATAACCCTCCTTAGAAAATCTTACATAGGTATGAAATATTGCATTGGTTTCTTTTGTGAAGGTTGAACCAATTTATTGCTTCAACACATTATAAACAACTAATTAGGTGTCAGAATTAAGATTAAGGTTTCAGAAAGTCTACAGTGGGACGTTATTATTCATGAGAACGTGAGATAAATTAAGTTCATTGGTCGCAAAACATGGATTCTGTTCATGGGCATATCTGTATTATTGCAGTGAGTTATAATACAGTACTAATTACTGCTGGGAGGACCTGTAATATTGTCGTCCAGCACTTGTTTGTTGTCAGATTTAAAAAGTAGAAACTTGTTCCTTTTAGTTATACCTAAACTAAAACAACAGTTTATCTAGTTTTCTCATGCGAAGAGTGCTAAGATTTTTTGTTTCAATTTCACCTCTTTTGAGTACTAGCATAAGCTCTGAATAATTTCCTGATACCGTTGAATCTAGAGTATATGAATATTAGGAAAATGGTATACAGCTAGTGGATAAATGGACATAGAAGTAGTTTCTAAGTTTTGTGCTTTCGCTTTCGTCTGCACCTATCCAGTTTTTCTTTGTGTTCTCCTTATGATGATGACCCTCGGCTTCTATGGTCCAGTGGCCCTATTCACAATTATGCTGTTTATTTAATCTTTATAAACACACTTTACTTAACTACTAATTGAAAATATATCCTTATCTTTATATTATTATTTAATCAATTATATTATTAGTTATATAGTAATATCTTATCTGAAAAAATATAGGATATTTATATTTTCAGATATGGATATATCATATCTATATCCACATCTGCTTATAGTGGATGCGGATACAGATTACTTGGATCATATATGAATTTGAACATCTATATGGACGTCAGACGTCCATTTTGATTTTCTGTATGAGCCATGAATTAGCAAATATCTCTGTTGCAGTCCAACACACTCTTAGCTACACATTAAAGGTGTTTTAGATTTTGAATTTTCTGGAAGAGAGTAATGGGTCATGTTATAATTACTTCATGTGCTCATAATTACATTCCCAGCAATGGTTAATCAACCTGTTTCCTTTCCACTTTATTTTAAGCCAACCCGACAATTATATTAAGACTTGTTTAGATCCTTGTGCTTCACATTAGTCTAGCGACAATATAGAATCTTGTGATTGCTTAATCTTGCTGCCAAATCTATTTCTGAAATTTTGATGTTCAGGTACAATGTATCAACCATTTCTCCTTCAAAAGTTTATCAGCTGGTATGAAATCTTTGCCCCCTTACAAAACTTTTTCTTTCTTACTTCCTTTATGCTAATCAAGTAAAATATATGTTTCTTTGAAGATAGTTCATATCACTTGACCTTTATACCGTTGTCTTGCAGATTGGAGTCATTGGAGAAGAGAAGAGCTATGAGATTCTCTGTAAAACATTTGACCATGAAGCTAAAGTTGTTTTAGAGGTAATTTGATTCTGCCGTTATGAATATCAACCAATGCACTTGAATAGTTCATCTGTTATGTGAATTCTGCAATATGGTGATATGCAAGGATTCGATTAACATGAAAAAAAAAAAAAAAAAACATACCAAGGGGTCATTGCACAATGGTGCCTCGGTTATTGGTAGAGCTCTTCCTCCTATGAGGTCAAGGGTTCAAACCTCACCAAAGGCGAGGAGTTTGCATGAGTATGATATACTCCAAAAAAACATATCAACCATTCCGGATTTATAAGTAATCACAATTACCAATTCCAGAAATAAATATCAATTATAATTATTGGTAATAAACACATTGTTGGATTATCCTCAATGTGAAATCTGCGATATTATACGTACATCACCATTGACAGCTCTTCGTCATTACTGGATTCCACTGCATACAATCAATTGATGTAAGCTGTTGTAATTTCAAGTAAAAAGTGTTCTCGGAATGAGTGATGAACAAACTCATTGTGATCCAATGTTTGTGGGATTGATATCAATTAAATCCCTGGAATGAACGACATCCGTTATTTTGCTGTAGCTACATTAAATACAAAAATATATTTGTGGATTAACATAGCACGCCTAATCATGGCCGTTGGATCAAAAGTGATTGATGGCTTGGATTGATCCTTAGGATTCTAAAATATTTGTGGTTCATACTTGAACCTCCCATATGTGTGTATATATATATAGAGAGAGAGAGAGAAAGTTATTGGTATTCAGTTAAAGAATCACGAATTAACAACATACAAGTTAAACATTGGTATTCAATCAAACATTAACAGCATAACTCATTGACATCCAATTAACATCATTTAACATTATAAAGTTACTAACCTCTAACGTTAATTAGCCTAGAAACAGTAAAGAAAATCATTTAAGAGACGGAAATGAGGTGGTGAAGACCTGGAAAAACATAGCAGAGAAGAATGGAAAAATAGAGAGTGGCGAACTTCTTTAACTGTTTGGTAGTTTTCTTTCCCTCTCTTTGTAAGTTAGTTTAACAGATTCTTAATGGACTAGAATTTCATTTAACTTTTGAAGGCTCTATGTGAAAGATAGGGGCGGTTTACCAAACGTTCAACACTCTCATATACGTTATCGGGTAACATTCTCACCCATCAAAACAGATTGTTGGTAAGCGTCTTTTACCCGTTAAGCACTTACCAGGTAAGAGTCTTCTCCCTCACATCGTAAGATTTCTCAATCCTTGCGATGCCTCCTAATAGCTTAGATTCTCGGTCCTTGTCATTCTCACTCAGTAAGGTAAGTGTCATCCGGTAAGCGTTTGGTAAATGGCCTATAATCTTTCCTAAGAAGGAACAATGCCTATATCTGAGATTATCTAGGTGACACGGATCATAGGGCACTCAAATTAACTGTAAACATTTTATCATAGAACGGGTCTTTCAAGATAATAGTCAGGAAAATTCTCGGTAGCCTTGAGAAGACTTGAACTGGTGACCAATTGGAAGGAGCCCAAGGCCTAGCCTTTATTTGGCAGTTGAGCTGGCCCTCAGGATTCAACAAAATCTAGGGGTTAGTTATATGATTGATCAGGTAAACTAACAAATTATGCATATAGAAATCAAACAAGATATTACAATATCTATACTATCTTATTAAGCAAATTTAGCAAATGCTTTAAAGTCTTAAAATACTAAACGACCAAAATACACTTTATACTCACTTTTTTACTTTTTCACTTTCTCACCCCTTCCTCTCCTCACATACACTCACCCACTCACAACTCGATTTTTTAAAATTATAATTTTAAATTTACACTTTATACCCCTCTAATTAATTAATTAATTTACTTTACGTCCTTTACTTTTAAATGTTTCATTTTAAACCTTTATCAAAGTAACATACATAATCGCATATCAATTAAAACATGTTTAAAAAATACATTTTTATTTTAACAAGTTACACCATTATAATCGTCTCGTTAATACCTTCGAAATGAGTCCAATATTGAATAGTTTTTGACTTAATTATATTATTATATATTATATATACTGTGAAAAAATATTTTTAATATTTACGATTTATACTTTTATAGTTATTTATTTATATATATACTATATATTTTGGGGTTAGGCTGTCCAAATTGCACTGTATAATATGTTTTGAATTAATATGTTCTTGGGTTTTTTTGAAATATATATATATTTATATATATATATATACATGTATTAATTCAACCTTAATCTGAGTTTTTGGACAAGAAAGAGGGTAAGCAGTTGAAATTTCATTCTAAAACCCATCTTTTTTTGTCTTTTCATGGCTTATGATCTGTCAAATTTGTAGTTTTCTTTATTGGTTTTGAGTGTTTATCTTAAAACTCAAGTTTCTTGGTTCTTTSCTCTTGATGTAAATCGAAYACATTTGTGGAGTCGTTTAAATATATTAGATTTTAAATATATTGGATTTTAAACTGTCATACAATTTTTTTCATCGATAGTCTGTAATTGAAACCATAACTTTTATTTATTCAAATTGTATTAATATGTAAAGACCAAGTGTAACCTATATCATCGTTAAATCTTATCTTATAAAACCAGTGGAACTTCAAAATCGTTAAAATTCATGGCTACCGCCGCATTGCACGGGTACACAACTAGTACTATAAAGAATAGTCAGTGATAATTTCTATCAAACTGAACCCAAAGGTGACTCCGGGCTATCTGCAAAGCAGGTGATCACCCTGGGATTAGTCAGCTCGCATGGCGGGTTGGATATCCAGGTTAATAAAAAAATAAAAAAATTAAAATCCAAAAGTATTATTTAATTTTGGAGAGTTCTCCAATTTGCATATTTTCATTCTCTCTTCTTTCCTACTTTCTCCATGTTGAACGATCTGTTGGAGAAAAAAATATGATAAAAACTCCAAAATCTTCATTTTCTCTATTTTGGAGAATCTAATTAAGATGCTCTCATGCCACAGATTAACTATTTGGCTCATTGTATTGTTATCTCTGTCTTCAGGAATCATGAAGTCTGGATCAGTGTGGTCTTGGTTAACAATGGAGATTTTTACCTTTCGATTGTCTGGCATCTAAAGGGATCAGAAGTCGGAAATTTTGAATCACGGGTACATTCTTTTTGCTAAAATGCAACCAAAATTAACATTTACAACTCTCCCAACATTCGGAAAGCTGATAAGCAGGATTGCGTTTTTATCGCCTTTCTTCTTTTCAGCTCCAAGTTGTTAGCAGTGATAGAAAAGCCTTTTAAGGGTTTAATCTATGAGTTTGTCCTCAAGATGGAGAGCATGGGCATGCTTGTTAGCAGCTTAATGAGCTTAATAAGACTCGCAGTTTATTCGGTCAACTATACATGAATGTTTGGTATTGGCTTAATGATATAGAAAAGTGGCTTATTCAGTAAGCTTCTAGGGGAGGCTGTATACAAAAAGCCAAGTATTTTTTTACAAACCTGCCTCTATCAATTAGGAAAATGCTCTTTCCAACCACAAGGGTGGTGCCTGATTGGTTTGAGCTTGGCTCCAAATGTCAAAAGTACTAGGAGATCCTAGGTTCAAATCCAATGAGGAATACAAATTCTCTTGTGGCCACGGCTGTTCAAATGCGGTGACTCCGGGCTATCTGCAAAACAGGTGGTCGCCTGGGATTAGTCGGCTCGCATAGCGGGTTGGATATCCAGGTTAATAAAAAAAAGTTCTTTCCATTTATGAAAAACCCTTCTAAACAAAAACCTTCCTAATCTATACAGACAACTTTATCCATACAGGACTTAATAGAAAACCAACCAAACAACCACTAGGCTTGTGTATATCTTCCCTTCACTCCTATATATGGTATTGTTGCACATTCTTGTATGCCTATTCCTACTTCTTATTGTTGACTTAAAGTAAATTGGTACAAGTTGGATACCGTTCCTTAGCATGTTAAAATGAGATTTTGAATAGATTATTAATTCTTATTATTATTGCAACTTTACATGTGTTTTAACACTTCATAAACCTGTGTAAAACTATAGCCCAAATGTTTAGGTTCAACCTTTTGTGTGCTCAACATATATGTATCTATCATCTATTTTTGCAATGTAATATAAAACTTCTGATGTAACAGGGCCGACAAAAAGATTGGAACATCCGTTATGTGGCTCTTCAGCTTATTTTGAAGTTGTTTTTGAGTCCAGTATTTTCATTATTATGTGGAAAATACGATGCCCTAACATATGCATTTCATTTCATGTGGTTTTCACATTCATTTGGTTTGTTTCAAGAAATAGAAATGAGGGTGTTTGGTTTTTTTTTTTCAAGGAAGGAAATGGGAATGAAACTTTCCCTCTGATTTGTTAAGGAATGTTTCATTATCTGTTACCTGATATCTGGTAATGACCAATTCTATTGTATCAAAGTGGATACCATTAACGATTTTTATTACAGTTTCCGTTCACCGCCCCTTGTTACATCAAACCAAGCACCATGTAAATGTATATTTGAACGACTGTTTGACCGAATTTATGAAGTGATTGTATATATTTTTTCGACCTCACAAATTTTGTGACGATCAAGTCTTTATCTTTGTTAATTTCATGTAAACTTAGTTGATTGAGGACTATATGAGAACACCACTTGGTGCTTTTTTCCAAAAGATTTGGTTGTAACCAGTTAATTGGTCATTTAAAGAACATACATAACAAGGACCCACCGGTTATAACTAGTACTCAACCGCTCCCTCTTTAACCGGTCCTAATTTGGATTCGGGCCTTAGTCGGTCCTTGATCATTCATGCTCACCTTTAGGTCTAAAATATCATCATTGTAATTCGTTTTGCTCAATTTGGATGCGGGCCTTAGTCGGTCCTTGATCATTCATGCTCACCTTTAGGTCTAAAATATCATCATTGTAATTCGTTTTGCTCAATTTGGATGCGGGCCTTAGTCGGTCCTTGATCATTCGGGCCTTAGTCGGTCGTTACTCGTATTGTTCAATTAAAATTAGTAGCATAAAAAAAATCAGACGATGATGGAGGAATAGGTCGTTGTTTGTTATAGCGTGGTTGTAAGCAATCATAAAATCAAACCGAAGAAAGAGGGTTTTGGAGGAAGAATGGCCTTTTTTGTCTTTCAACCTTAGAATTCTTGTATATTTTTTTTATTAACCTGGATATCCAACCCGCTATGTGAGCCGACTAATCCCAGGACGACCACCTGCTTTGCAGATGGTCAGGAGTTACCACATTTAAACCTCCATGGCCACAAAGAGATTTTTATTCCTCCTTGGATTTGAACCTAGGACCTCCTGGTACTTTTGACATTTGGAGCCAAGCTCAAACCAATCTGGCACCACCCTTGTGGTTGAATTCTTGTATATTTAACATTATAAAAAGACTGTAATTAACCTATACTGAAAATAATGGTCATCACAAATGGGGACTGATATCGTGTGAAACACTGATAATACTTTTAGCACCATCATTGGGTTAATGTTGTCGAAATAGTCGTGATGCTAATAGCACACTCCTTATGTTATCGAATGAGTCATGATGCCATTAAAACTTTTAGCACCATCGTTGGTTAATGTTGGTGTTGCGATCGAGGGTCTATTTGTATGGGCGACAATAAGTACACTTGCCCATAAGAGTATGATCTCTGAAAAGTAAAATACTGGACAATGGTGCGTATGCGTGAAATCGAAGGAGAAAAGATACGTACCATATGTACCTACAGTTACACGATAAGACACCACCCTTATGGTTAATATATACATCTAATTGTCGACAAGAAGAACTCAACAAATGACACTTCCTTTGACAAATTTAAAGTCTAAAAGCTAAATTGCAAGATGATACTCGATAGATGAGTATGCTTTTTCTTATTCACATTAATATAGAAATGAGAGTTAGACTACAGTCTATCTGATGTTGCAAAAAGTATAAAAAGTCAAACCGACGGTACAACCAAATATGCTTGCCCCTGCCTCTGCCCCCTAAGAATAAAACATTTAATGTAGTTTGGCTTGCATTAAATGCATTACGGGGGCCAATATTCAACTAAGGGGGCATTATATCGTCGAGATGCAAAATTGGCTAGAAGATTGTCAAAAGGATGGCCTCCTTGCGACGTGGATAAAAAGGCATACTTCACTGTTGCACGCCTCTCATTCCATACGTATATGTTCCAGTGAAACTTTAAAGCAACGATGCGTGAAAATAACTCAAGAATGAAAACCCTCAAGTATTCAAGCGTTAAAGGTTTCAAGATTTTTTTCGTTCTATACGAACACTTGTTAAAAGTGACAGTTACCAATTTAAAGCAAAATGCAAATCATAGTGAACGTTGTTGTACTTATCGAAATTTAGGGACGTTTGTGAATTTTGTGTAAACAACAAGGACCAAAATTGTCGTTTACTTAAAATATAATAATAAAAAGAGTAAGCTACAAGTTTGGTTCCCATGGTTTGTTAAAAATAACACTTTTTGTTCCTACAGTTTCAAAATTACAAGATGGTAATCATGGTTTGCAAAAGCGTTCGAATTTGGTCTCTTTTTCTAACGGTTGTTAAAAATCTCCGTTTAATAAAGGGCGTTTTTATCATTTTATTGATTTTTTTGTCTTTAATCCAATAAAAAACCACAGAGACCAAAATCATAAAATCAACTTTAATTAGATGAAGACAAAAAATAAGAAAATTACGAAAATGCCCCTCCTTTAAAACTAGAAGTTTTAACAATCGTTAGATGGAAAGACCAAATTCGGATATTTTTGCAAACCATGATGGTTATTTTGTAACTTCAAAATTATGAGGATAAAAAATGTTACTTTTGAAAAACCACAGGGACCAAATTTGTAGTTTACTCACAAGATTAATGTTTGGGTAGCCTATTTTTTACCATTTAAAACCAAACTTACCGTTAACACGGTATTATCCGATTCGTAAGAGAATCTGTGGAGGGTCTCCGGCGACTCCTTTCTCCTCCGGTAAAAATAAATGGCGGCAACAATGAGTGGTACCGTTAACCATAGGGTTTGCTCTTCATCGTCACCATCTCCGTCGCCACTGCTGGTCAGGAGCAGTGGTATTACTTGGAGAAGCGATAACTTCGAGAGAACCAGGCAACAATGTCGTTTATCTTCTTTCTTATGTTGTTCACCGGTTAATCGTAGTTCTCTGTGGCCTGGATTATCTTCCACACTCTCGATTGCATCATCCAGACAGCAAAATTGTCTTCAGGTTGTCGCCTGCGTCCCTCCTTCTTCACAGCCGCAGACGACTACTACCTTCACCTCCTCTACGAAGCTCTATGTCAGTGGTAAGATCTATTTCTGTAGCTCTATTTATTTAAATTCTGAATTTGATGAATACTTTCTCCAATGTTGTTTAGGGCATTATGTTAGAATTTGAATATCAAACAAACAACTTTGATTTCGGAACTGATGCGAGTATGTTTAGTTCTTGGGAAAATGATGATATCCGTATAAAAAAGTGTAAGAACTGTGCTCAATGAAAAAATATATGATAATTATAAGCTCTACATGACATTAGGAAGCCAAGTCCATGGTTATTATACTGTAGAAAATGAGGAGTATCAATGGGGTTGTGGGAATTTGAATGTCATGATTAGGATTCATCACTTTACAGCAAATATCTTAGACCCCGTTTGGTTTGCAGGATTTGATTGGATTGGGAATTGAATTCCATTCTAATCCTATGTTTGGCTCAAAGGAATGCTTGGATTTGAAATCCCACAAACATGGGGTTACAGAAATCCCATGGAGGTAGTTGGTATTTTGCTGGATTTTTATAGGATTTGTTTGTAATAATGTTTTAAATTATGTTAAAAACACTTGTTTTGTAATAATCAATTAATGAAAATATAACTTAGTTTGAATAACTTTATTTATAAAAAATTGGAATGAGTAGTCAAACGGCCACTTGTGTGTTTTGTTGGTGAGTAGTCAAAGCATGGTTGATGTAGGGTGCTCAAAATACCGACCAACCCGATCCGAAAAAACTTAAAACACCTCAACCTGATGTAACTCGACGCATAGTTGATACAAAATTAGACCAACCCGCACCTATTGGGTTGGGGTAATTTGAACCAACTCAACCCGATGAACCCGGATGCCTTTTCTATACTATGGATTTAATATGGTTGTCAAGTACTTGATTAATATATGTACATTAGACATTAGACCAACCCATAATTAGCTATATTCAAAATTATATTACAATTTCAACCATAATTTTACTTTCTTATTTGCATGAAATTTCAACCTCTTTTTGAGTTTATTAGCCTTTTTTGTATGTTCTCATTTTGATTTTATTCGTTTGAACAAAACGTTTAGCTAGATTATAAAATGATATACCAATGATTCAACCCGACCAACCGAACCCAACCCAACCCAGACGGTTTGGATTGGGTTGAGATTTTTCAAACCACAGACAGGGGTTGGGTTGTCCAAATGCCTTCAACCCGGCCAACCCAACCCATGTGCAGCCCTAGTTGAGTCCCAAAAACAAACAAAAGGAAAGAAGGGGGAAAATTGTCCAAGAACAATAAGCAGAACTGAAACATTATTTCTTTATAAATTATGGAGGGATAAACACATCTTATTACAAGAAGGAATTGGTAGTTCATAAAGCTAGCATGTCCCTATAAATTATACATTGAAAGGGTAAATGATTAGAAACAAGAGAGGTTGTAAATGAAGATGGCAATGAGATGGTTCAAAAGTTAACCCAGGATAGGTAAGTCATGATTAAACCATAGCAGGCTTGGGAGTGAGTGATGAATACAACCCATGTGCTCTCTCTCTCTCTCTCTCTCTCTATATATATATATATATACACACACACACAAATATATATATGTATAATATACTGTAAACATGTTTAATGCTGTGACATTCCTGACTCCTAACTGAATATGAACGCTAAATGAGCAAAAAAATTTGTGTTCATGTTTGTTCATCAAGAAATTGTGCTTGTTCGTGTTCGTTTAAGATGCTAAATGAACGAACATAAAGGAACGAACATAAAGGAACGAACACAAATGAACAGAAAGCAACTACCAATCTATTCTACCATTACTCGTCATTTTGTTCCTCAAAAATATATAACAAAATGAAAAATCGGGTAAACTTAAAAGGATAAAAACAAATTCTATAAATTTAATTTAATTAATGATTTTACATATTAATTTTTAATATATAAATATTTTGATATATAAACAAGCGTAAACGAACGCAACCGAACATAAGTGAACAAATAGGACCATTGTTCATGTTCGTTCATTTATTAAATTAACGAACTTCCCGCCGAACGGTTCGCTGAACGTTCGGTTCGTTTACAGCCTTAGACTCGGTCATGAATTTTTCTCCTTATGGTGATGTAGTTGAAAAAATAAAATCGGGCAAAATAGTATGATGAACTAGGGTGTTTATATAACATCTCTATGACAACAACTAGAATCTCTTTTGGTTATTTCTCCCCCGAATAACCCGCAGCTACCACTCCTGATTGCTTTATCTAGCCTTATTTGTCCAAACCAAAAAGTCCCGGTATATCCCACCAGAGGTGGGGTTTGGGGTTGTCCTGTATTCCTATATATATATATATATATATATATAGATAGATAGATAGATAGATAGAGAGAGAGAGAGAGAGTTCCCTTCTTTTGCAAAGCCAATAATTTGTACAAACATTCAAACCAGATTTCATGTGTTGTTTCATATATGAAACTACACATGTGAAAATGCAGCATTTATACAAAGTTGTTTCATATGTGAAACGTTCAGGACTATTTTTTCCACACACAAAACAATCCTGAACGTTCCACATATAAAGCAACTTTATATAAACTTTGCATTTTCACACATATGAAACAACACATAAAAACCGGTGTATAAGTTTGTACAATTTATTGTGGTTGGTAAATGATTGCGTTTGGCAAATGAGTATTTATACCAGCCGGCTGACTGCATGGCTACAGGAGCATATGAATTTCGAGTATATACTTACAATGAATCTGACCCAGTCCCAAAGCCTTCAAATGCACAAGTTTGGAACCACTGCAGCTTAGCTCCTCTTTCTGGTAGAGAGATTTATCTGGCTATCTGATTTTAAATATATACCTACAATGAATCGGCCCAAAGCCTTTAAATACACAAGTTTGGAAGCACACTAGCTTAGTTCCCCTTCCTGGTATAGGGATTTATCTGCATCTCTCCAGCGTTGGGGGAACAAATAGGCGTGTGGAAGAGGGAGGGGGGGGGGGGGTAGGAGCCAAAACAAGGTTTTTGCTCATTATAGGACTTGACCAAACTTCTCATGACACGAGCTGACGACAGCCATGCAGCACCTGTTAGCTATCTGTGTTAGCTCCTTGTTTCTGTTCTAGCAAAAACTTCATTTACTTGTGGGATTGGCAATGTGCAAGTGCAATTAGCCTAAGACTTATTCTTCTCTTTCCGTTTGTTTATAGTGATCAATATCAAATTGATTGATATAGATTTGAATGGCAGGACTCTCGTTTCGAACCTCAGAGGAGAGCCTGCGAAATGCTTTCCAGTCATTCGGTCAGCTTATTGAAGGTATAAAAGGATGCCAATTATATCTCATTTTACTAATACTTTCTTTCTAGTCCTCACCATCCTTTTCATATGAGAAGTATGTATATTATTTTATAAGCTGAGATAATAATCTATGATCTTTCAGTAAATCTGGTGATGGATAAGATTGCTAATAGACCAAGAGGATTTGCTTTCCTTCGATATGCAACAAAGGAAGAATCTGAGAAGGCCATTGAGGGTATGCATGGGAAGGTTAGTTATTCGCTTTACATATCAAAATATATTAACCACAAGGGTGGTGCCTGATTGGTTTGAGCTTGGCTCCAAAGGTCAAAAGTACCAGGAGGTCCCAGGTTCAAATCCAAGGAGGAATAAAAATCCCTTGTGGCCGCGGAGGTTCAAATGCGGTGACTCCGGGCTATCTGCAAAGCAGGTGGTCGCCCTTGGATTAGTCGGCTCGCATAGCGGGTTGGATATCCAGATTAATAATATATATATATATATATATATTGGATGCTATGTTCCTTATAGAGTTATGAGCTTTGGGTCTTACTATATTAAAGATGGTTAAAAGTGCATCTTT